ATGTCTGAAATAATGGGACGCAAAGGCAAATCTGGTTTATGTGTTTTAGGACGAGTGATGTGATAAGGATCTAAGTTTTTTAAATATAGAAAGACTGTATAGTCTTGGGTGACAAGGATGTAGGTTTTTTAAAAGTATATATACACACACTTATATATATATAGTTCTTTAAGTGTGATACATCAAACAAAGAAAAAACAAAGATTTATAAAATAATCTTTAATTTGAAATGTTTTATGACATACAATTTGATGTCATCAGTGTTAATAATTGGAACACTCAAAACTATATGATTTTTTTGTCACATTATAGTATGTACAGAGTTATTATCGTCTTAACTATGTTTATAAAATTTTTGTGAACGTATAAAAAAGACTGGTAAACACATGTTTTTGGTAAAATAATAAAATACTCACTTCATTCAAATTTGATGACATTTTGAAAAATGGTCAACGATTATTATATAGTGACCATATTTTTTTTTCATGTAATTCGGGACGGATTCGGGGTTGGCTGTTGATGAGCTAAAAACCTACATGCACATTTTTTCGGTTCAAATTTTCTAAAATATATTTAAAAAAAATATTGGCAATCAATACATTTTTAAAAATCTGGGACAAAACACCTAAAACCGGGACAAATATTACTTTTAGAAAAAGCCGGGATGCAAGGCGGAAAACAGGGACTGTCGCGGCCAATCCGGGACGTAAGGTCACCTTATATATAGTCATTGCAAAGCGAATTGCAGTCGGTTCTTTTATTTGTTGCTGCCTCATTGTGTAATGATATCAGGCATTCTTTGCTAAATCTTCTCTTAAATAAGTTACTTTCGAAATGTAGGATTGTGGGATTGAAAAATTTATGTTATGTTTGAGGTCATTAATGTGATCTGTCAGCATTGTTTTAGATTGGTTTTTGTTTTTGGAATTGTTTTTATGTTGTGATATTCTTTTGTGTAAGTGGGATAAGTTCTTTTATATATGGTAGACAAACGTTACCGATAAAATTATTGTCTTTAGAAATTTTAATAGGGAAAGAAGAAGAATTCATACTATTGAGAACCTTGAGTCTATTGGTAGTGACGGAGTTAATGAGATGATGAGGATATGAATTGTTTATTAAAATCGTGCGAATTAGGGATAACTTGGAAGGTTAAAATTGCTTATCTGAGAGAAGGATGGGGTGTTCGACTAAATTGATAATAGTACCTATCTTCATACTGTAATATGATAATAGTACCTATCTTCGTACTGTTTTATTTAAAATTTAAACAAAAATAATAACATGAAAAAAATTATTGGTTTTATAATCACAGACAAAATTATCGAACATAAAGAACAAGGAATAACCCTTAAATCTATACTAAAAAATTAGGATAACAAAGCTCAGTGGCCAATGGCAGATCTGGGCTGACTTGCAACTTTGGAGGTATACAAAATAGAATTAATTTACTTACTTTAATAATAACATGAAAAAAGTAATTATGGTATTGGTATTATAATCACAGACAAAATTATCAAACATAAAGAACATAGGAATACGATAATTTAAAATCCTAGGTGTCGCTCAGTGACAATTTAAAATTATTTGATTTAAAAAAATCAAATCCTACGTATTATTTATTGATATTGAAAATAGTAAAGGTTTTTGGTTAATTAACCGGTTTCATAAAATTATTTCGGTTAGGTTACCGGTTAATTAGGGAAATCTTTCAATCTTTCAAATATCGCGATTGTAAGTGAAATTGCTGAATTTTCACGAAGCAATTATATTAAATAAAGTACATATTAAAAGTTAATCCTACGGGATTTTTACTGACAAAATCGTCAATTGCTTCGTGAATATTTAAAGATTCAGCAATTTCACTTTCAATCGCGATAATTGAAAGATTGCTCATACGTTCTTTCGTCATGGAAGTACGTAGGTAATTTTTTATGATTTTCAATTTAGAAAAACTACGTTCTCCAGACGCAACTGATACAGGCATGGTCAATAATTGTTTTAAGCTTGTAGATACATTTGAAAATGAATTTTGTAAATTGTGTTTGTACAAATACTTTATTTATTTATTTATTTATTTATTCATCATATAGCCCACAGAGTAGCTCCAGGAGGACTTAAAAATACAATTTTAATATTCATATTTTAATAATATAAATTTACTAATATATGATATAACAACACATAACATAATATAATTCATAACATAACAATACATAACACAAAATAAAAAGCTCTTAAAAAAAAATTCTTAACGGTAAAACTAAATTATGTATGATGGAAATAACATATTCGTGACAAAATATCAAGATTAACTTGTACAGATGGTAATTAATTGTTTTACTGAAGTATTGTGAATATCGATATCTTTATTAATTGAGTTGAAATTATAGGACATTAGCACTATAGGTGAGTTTAATAAAGCATTAGTCTTAGGAGTAGGATATTTGAAAAACATTTGAGTTCGAAATGAGAGTCTAGGAACTTTAAAGGATAGTTGGTCTAGAATTTGAGGACAATCTGTGGCATTATTACATAGTTTATACAGGAACAAAATACGACCGTGAAAAATACAATCAGTGATCAAATACGATCAGTGAAACGACGTGTAGCAAGAGATGATACGCAGAATGTATAAAGTAAAATATTGTGGTCGAAACCACGTTCAGGATAAATTTTGTGCGTTTTAAAGTATAGATATTTTATAAATTTTCTTTGAAGCTTCTCTATCGCATCTGAATTATTGCTATGGTTAGGATACCAAATGATTGATCCATACTCCAGCTTTGAACGTACAATTGCATAGTATATGCCAATTAGTGACAGATTAGATTCAAATTTCTTGCAGTTTCTTAATATTATTCTATTCTAATGATTTTTGCGCCTTGCTACATATATTAGATATGTGATCTGTAAAAGTCAAACTAGAATCAAATATAATGCCTAAGTCAGATATTTTATCACACCTTTCTATGCAGGTGTCAGAAATTTTATAATCAAAATGCGTCGGAACGCGCTTGTTTGTAAAACTAATAATTTTGCATTTGGATATATTCAGATCCAGTTTAGTTTGAACACACCAGGAGTGAAATGAATTTAGTTGAGATTGCATTACTAGGCAGTCATCTATTGAGTTTATTTTAAGATATAACTTGAGGTCATCTGCAAACAATAGGTGAGGACAATTAATTACTTCCGATATATCGTTGATAAAAATATTAAATAAAAGAGGACCAAGGGTGGACCCCTGGGGCACACCCGAGCTGACAGTTGCAAAGTTACTCAAAAATTCATTAAGAAAAACGAACTGTTTACGATTATGAAGACAGCTTTCAAAGAAATAAGTAAGTGAAGTATTAAAACCAATTTTAGATAATCTAGCAAGAAGTATATTATGATCTATTTTATCAAAAGCTTTACTAAAATCAGTGTAAATTATATCAACTTGTCCGTTAATGTCAAGATTTTCAGCAAGAAATTGTTTAATGCATATTAGATTAGTAGTTGTGGAACGAGCAGGCATAAAACCATGCTGATTATTAGAAATTAAATATTTTATCGATGGAATTAGTTTATTAAATACAATTTTTTCAAAAACTTTAGCAAAATTAGATAATAAAGATATGGGTCTATAATTAGTAATATTAGATGAGTCGCCATGTTTAAAAATTGGTACTATATGCGCGATCTTCCAACAGTTCGGAAAAGTCTTTGTACTCAATGACAGATTAAATAAAAATGCAAGTGGATCACAAAGAACAGTTGAACAATCACGTACAAAAAATGATGGAATACCGTCAAATCCAAATGTTTTAGAATTTTTCAAACTTGCCATTGCAACTTGCACACAACTAGAATCAATTTTCTCAATATCAACCATTACTCTATTGTTATGATCAAACGAAATAGGCATATCTAGCTTGGGTTGATTAACACTAGTAAAGTATGAATTAAATGCATCTACTATAGCATCAGGTGATTCATAGTATTTGTCCAAGTAGCATACTCTCATGGATAATATTGCAGTTATATGAGCTAAAAACTAAATCTAACAATCTATTACTAATATTGATAATATGATTATATTGATTGAGACCTAAGACATTCATAAAATTATAGATAGAGTTACATTTTGTGTTAGTGAAATTATGCGAATATTGGACAAAATGAGGTACATTAAAGTCACCTAAAATTAAGACATCTTTACCAGAGATATGAGATTCAAAGAGTTCAAGAAATATTTCAAAATCTTCAGATGATACATCAGGTGGCACATATACTGTAAACACAAATATACACAATTTATTAAGAATGCACTTGCAGCCAACAATATCTATCGATGGAAGATATTGTATAGTATAAAAATTGAATTGTGTAAAAATTAATAGATTAGATTACAAAGTATATAAAATATATATAAGTTTACAAAAATACGTTGAATAGAGTGTGAAATAGAATAGATATACGGATGTATAATATTGTTGATAATTCAATTCTAACTTCTAACTTCTGCATAGTATGATCATATTACTTCAATTTAATGTATACGTATACTGAATACAGTCTAATTCCAAGGGTTCACAAGTATATTTTTATTCACGGCAAGAAGAACACCACCGCCACGATATTTATTATTGACACCTGTTCGCGCCGATCAAAGCAGGCGGTTATGCGAATAGAAAACAAAAAATCATCAAATAGATAATTATAAAAATCAAAGTCAATTCAATCAATACATAATCAAAACATATTAAATTTGTTATAAATACTATTATAACTTATAAAATAAATATATACAGTTATTCAATTAAGTGTTTTACATATGGTTCTTCGAAAAGTAAATTCAAATTCAATCAAAACAAGATCCTAAAAATCATTGGTCCTTCGAGCCGGATTGACATCCAGCAGTCGAAGAAGATACAAGACATCAATTGGAGCCAAAGGAGCAGAAATCAGGTCACTTAAAACTAACCATTTTTACAATTATAATCCACGTCAAAATGGAATCGTTAAAATCATTAAAACTGAAGCAAAGAGGAATGAAATCGCGATTAACAAGATATGAGAAAATATGCAAACAAATGGCAGAAACACCTACTTCTGAGTTAGATATTTTAGATATAAACAGCCATGTCGAAGAGGTAAGGCCATTATTTGAAATATTTGAAAACACCATTATCAATATAACAACGCTATTAGAAGACGAAGATGAAATAAATAAGTTAATGGATATCGAATTAGATGAATACTTTGAAAAATATAAAAGGTGCCTATCAACTTTATTAAAATTCAGTCAAATAGCACAAAATAAGTCAGATATTAATTCAAACAACTTTAATGATTCTAATATGACAAATAGTCTTAACAACATTAAATTGCCTCAGATTAATTTGCCTCAGTTTGACGGCTCTTATTTAAACTGGTTACAATTTTACGATTCATTTTCTTGTTTAATTCACAAAACTCAAACATAGGCAATGCCCAAAAGTTTTATTATTTAAAATCGTGCCTAAAGGGGGATGCTGCTAATCTCATAGAATCACTACCGGCAACGGCCGATAATTATATTATTGCGTGGGACTTATTAAAAACGCGGTTTGAAAACAAGAAAATAATCGTAAATAACCATATTAAAAATTATTTGATCATCCAGCCATGCACAATGAATCGGGTAAGGATCTTCGCAATTTAATAGATACGTTTAATAAGCATTTAAGATGTCTAAAAATGTTGCAACAACCGGTAGACCAGTGGGACGCTCTAATTAATTATTTAATCATGACAAAAATAGACAAAAAAACTCACCAAGAGTGGGAAATGCTCATGAATAGAGGGTCAGAATTAGTTACATTTGCCGAACTCAATAGCTTTCTAAATCAACGCTGTATGACGTTAGAAGCTATAAACCCAACTGAGACAAGAACCGGAAATTTCAATAAGTTTAAGGACATAAAAAATAATTATGTTAAATCAACAAAATCTTACGCTGCATCTACTAATTATAAAAATATTTGTTTGTTTTGCAAAGGGCCTTATCATTCGGCATACAAATGCCCAAAATTTCGATCACTATCTACAGAAGATAGATTAAACAAAGCAAAGGAACTAAAATTATGTATTAATTGTCTACGATATAATCATAATGTTAAACAATGCCTATCATTAAGTCGCTGTACCTTTTGCAATTCAAATCACCATAGTCTTTTACACGCAGATTCAAACCAACCACCAACTGTAAATGCACCACAAAATATTTCATGTCATTCCGGAAACGAATCAAGTCAAATACTTTTATCTACTGCTTTGATAAAAGTATTAGATTGTAATAACAAATATAGAGCATGTAGAGTTCTATTAGATTCGGGATCACAATCCAATTTCATCACGCGAAGTTTTGCTAATGAACTTGGTCTGCATAAACATCCGATTAATATGTCAGTCCAAGGAATCAATCAAAATTCAACGGAAATTGATTCAAAAACAGTAATTACTTTACAATCATGCGTTAACAACTTCTCATTAGACGTGTCTTGTTTTATTTTGAATAATATAACAAATAATTTGCCGACAATTTCATTCAATAAAAATATTTTGAATATTCCAAATTATGTTAAATTAGCTGATCCAACATTTAATAAAGGCAACAAAATTGATATATTAATCGGTGCGGAAATATTTTGGAGTATATTTTGCAAAGGATACATTCATTTAGGAAAAAATAGACCAATATTGCAAAATACACAGTTTGGTTGGGTCATTGCTGGTAGCGTACCCCTCAACAACCCCAGTTCGTTTACAACATGTTGTCATACATCTAATTTAGAAACTCAAGTACATAAATTCTGGGAATTGGAAGCGTGCAATGAGATTCAACATTTCACAAAGACGGAGCAACAATGCGAACAACATTTTATCTCGAATACAACGAGAGCAAATGACGGAAGATTTATCGTAAAAATTCCATTTACAGATAACATCAAAAATATAGGGAATAATAAACAGATAGCATTCAAGCGATATATTTTACTAGAAAATCGTTTACGAACAAACGAAAATCTATTTATTGATTATAAAAATTTTATGGATACTTATATATCACTAGGTCACATGAGCGAAGTCAAAGAATCTATCGAACCCAAAACATGTTTCTATTTACCTCATCATGGAGTACTAAAACCAGATGGTTTAACCACGAAATTGCGCGTAGTTTTCGATGCATCTTGTAAATCCGATACGGGTATGTCATTGAATGAAGTACAGCTTGTTGGACCCACAATTCAAAATGATATTTTTTCTATCATATTAAGATTTAGAAGGCATACATTCGTACTAACAGGCGATATAGAAAAAATGTACAGACAGGTTTTGGTTCACGAAAATGACAGAAAGATGCAACGAATATTCTGGAGGGATAATTTTAATAGCAAAATAAAAATATATCAATTAAACACAGTCACATACGGTACAGCTTCAGCTCCGTTTTTAGCCATACGATGCTTAGAACAATTAGCTAGAGAAAACATAACTAATTTCAAAAGAGAATGCGAAATCATTAGAAATGATTTTTATGTTGACGATCTATTAACAGGAACTGATACAATATCCGAACTATTTACTATTAAAACTAATATTTGTAACATTTTAAATCAAGCAAAACTTAATCTTTATAAACTTAATTCAAATTATCCAAAACTTTTAAACATGGACAATAAAAACAAAACCATAGGCGAACAAACTATTAAAACACTAGGCATATATTGGAATTCTGTTTCAGATAGTTTCAAATTTGATTATAACAATGTAATCATAAATCAAATTGCGAATAAAAGATCAATTTTATCAACAACGGCTCAAATATATGATCCTATGGGTTTTTTATCTCCAATTATTATTATACCGAAATTAATAATTCAAAGTTTATGGCGATTAAAGTTATCATGGGACGAAACAATTCCATCAGAACTAGAAAATAAATGGAAACAGTTTTGCAATGAAATAAAGTTTATTAAAACTTTAAATATTGAAAGACATATATTTTGTGAAAATCGTCTAACCACCGAATTACATGGTTTTGCTGACGCATCCGAGCAAGCTTACGGTGCATGTATATATGTACGATCTATCGATATCAATTCTGATATTAAAATAAAATTAATAGCGTCAAGATCTCGAGTAGCGCCATTAAAAAATATCACACTCCCGCGTCTCGAACTTTGTGCGGCACAATTATTAGCGAATCTTACGCAAAAAATAAAACGGGCATTAAATATCGCGTTTGATAAAGAATTCTATTGGAGCGATTCCACAATAACCCTTTCGTGGATAAAATCTCCGTCTTACAAATGGAAAACTTTTGTTGCCAATAGAGTTTCTGATATTCAAACAAAAACCGACGCCAACAATTGGTTTCATGTCCGATCGCAAGATAATCCAGCGGATCTCATTTCACGCGGATGCTTCACACATGATTTATTAAAATCATCTTTATGGTGGCAAAGTCCATTTTGGTTACAAAATTTAACTGAAACACAGCAACGTACAACTAATTACCTTACGATTCCAGAGACTGATATAGAAATTAGAGTTATAAATTTAATTTGCACGAAAATCAATACTAATGAATTTTTTTCATTATATTCTTCATTTAAAAATTAGTACGAGTCGTAGCCTTCTGTTATCGATTCTATCAGAATTCTAAATTGATTAAGAACAAAAGATTACATGGTCCACTTACCATTAACGAATTCAATGATTCATTAAAAACCTTAATAAAACTATCACAACATGATACATTCAAGCATGACATAGACATAATTATGAGTAAGGGAGCATTAAACAAATCTTCAAAATTAAAATCACTAACTCCATTCCTAGATAGAGATGGAATTTTACGCGTTGGGGGGCGGATAAAAAATTCTAATTTAGCATATGATAAATGCCATCCAATAATACTACCAAAGAATCACCCATTAACAATTCTGATAGCTAGACATGAGCATTTAAAATTGTATCACTGCGGAGCACAAATGCTATTAAATACGTTACGTAATACCTATTGGCCTATCGGAGGTAGAAATTTAACAAGATCAATCGTACAAAAATGTGTAACATGTTTTAAAGTAAAACCCACATTGATCCATCCATTAATGGGTAATTTGCCTAAAAGTCGTGTAACACCGCAATCACCTTTTTTTATATGCGGAGTAGATTACGGAGGTCCTGTCCTAATAAGAGATCGTCAAACAAGGGGGTACAAAAAATTAAAGGCGTATATATGTTTGTTTGTATGCTTTGTTACGAAGGCAATTCATATTGAATTAGTATCTGATTTAACGACGAATAGTTTCATGGCAACATTAAAACGATTTATGGCACGACGTGGCAAACCTCGCGAAATATATTCAGATAATGGAACGAATTTCATAGGCGCAGCTTCTGGATTAAAGGAACTGTATAAATTTTTACAAAGAAAGTCAAATCAAAACGAGATTACTGATAAAATGATAAACGAAGGTGTGTCATGGAAGCACATTCCACCGAATTCTCCTCATTTCGGAGGAATTTGGGAAGCTGCCATAAAGTCATGCAAGGCTCACCTAAAACGAATATTAGGAAACGCCATTTTAACCTTCGAAGATTTTTATACGGTTCTGACCCAGATCGAAGCAATATTGAATTCAAGACCAATTTCTCCTTTAAGCTCCGATCCTAACGATTATGATTCATTAACTCCTGGTCATTTTCTCATTGGAAAATCCTTGATTTCAACTCCAGATCCGTCAGTGTTTGATATACCTGACAATAAACTTTCTCGATATCAACGACTCCAAAAACTTGTACAACATTTTTGGAAACGCTGGCATAAAGAATATATTTCAGAGTTACAATGTAGAACGAAGTGGCAAGTGCAACAATCACAGCAAATTGAAATAGGGGAAATGGTAGTAATTAAGGAAGAAAATTTACCTCCAATGCAGTGGAAATTAGGACGTATCATTGAAACGCACCCAGGAGACGATGGAATTGTGCGTGTGGTAACAATTAAAACAAAGGGTGGAATACTCAAGCGTGCTGTTCACAGAATATGTGTATTACCAAAACCACTAACAACAACTTAATTCACATTCACGAAGATTACCAAACATTTTGAAATCTATATTTCAAAGGCGGGAGCATGTTCGCGCCGATCAAAGCAGGCGGTTATGCGAATAGAAAACAAAAAATCATCAAATAGATAATTATAAAAATCAAAGTCAATTCAATCAATACATAATCAAAACATATTAAATTTGTTATAAATACTATTATAACTTATAAAATAAATATATACAGTTATTCAATTAAGTGTTTTACATATGGTCCTTCGAAAAGTAAATTCAAATTCAATCAAAACAAGATCCTAAAAATCAACACCATATGATCGATCACATCTAAAGATATTAAAACTGTCACAGAAGAATTCGGAGTTGTGTACATCATTCCTTAGCCAAGTTTCAGTAAAGGCGACAAAATCATTTTCCAGGTTGCATGTTGCGAGCAGGCATACAGAAATTTTTGTATTTAGTCCGCGAACATTCTGATAATAGCATGTAATGATATTACTGTCTGTGGGCAAAATCAGTTTAAAGTTACAATTTGTGGAACGCCATTGATATATTTAATTTTTAGATTTTTTTCACTATTTTTTCGCGCTCTAGAAGCTCGACTTTCAATCCCTGATAATATTTTTGTTGCCTAGGTGTCCGATCTTCAGTGATATTGAGGTTTTTGAGATTAGCATTGTCTTTTAGTTTTCTGTAATTGAGTAAAATTTTTTTAGGCAAGTTATTGTCTTTAAATACGATTTTTAACGGTCTTGGCTTAGTCCTTAGCGTGTCCGGTTTCCCCAATCTGAATAGATCGAAAGATGACGGCGAGCAAGGTACACCCATTGTCGCTTCAAATATATTATTAATCAATGTGGTATTATAATTGTTAGTATCGTTTAGTGGCTATTTAGCATTATACACAATTAGATTAAACGAACGCTTATTAGGTTCAGAAGTTTCATTAACCAAGGCTTCGAATTGCTCTTCATCTATTGCTTTATTAACTTCCCGAAGGAGAAGTTTATGTTTTCATCAAAAAATCCGAATCGCTAATTTTATGTTTTCTCGACGTTTCGAGCCATTCTGAATCGAATGAGACCAAATTTGGAAAAAGTATGTGTGTGTGTGTGTGTGTGTGTGTGTGTGTGTGTATGTGTGTGTGTGTGTGTGTGTGAACAGATTTTTTGCCGTAAATCGACGTTTTCTCCAAAACGGTTGGACCGATTTCAAAAATTTAAAAGCCATTTGATGTATCTCGATGAGGACTATCGTCTCTGAGTTTTGTGCGGCGATCGGCCGGGCCGTTTCTTTGTAAATTGCAGAAAAGTGAAAAATTTTTCGTCCACGTTTTAGCCCGCAATTCTGAATCGATTCTGAAAATTCAAAAACCGTTCGATAGATATTGGTTGGGAATCGTGCTGATTAGTTTTTGGTAAAGATCGGCCGGGCCGTTTTCTTGTAATAAAGTTTTTAAAAAAAAATTTTTGACGATTTTTATGATTATTTTTTTGACGATAGATACCATAGTTTTCTAGGTCATACTAAAATATTACGGCCCTACGACAACTGGTTTAGCTTTAAAAATTCGTCAAAGTTTGCAAAAATCAGTATGGTCTTTTTGGCATTTGTCAAAATTAGACTTTTGATCGACGTTTTCTCAAAAACGCCTGAACCGATTTTAGAAATTTAAAAGCCATTTGATGTATTTCGGTGAGGACTATCGTTTGTCAGTTTTGTGCAACGATCTACCAAGCCGTTTCTTTGTAATTTGAAAAAAAGTGTTGAACTTTTCGTCCACATTTAAGCTCATCCTACCGAACCGAATTAAAAAAATCAAAAACTGTTCGAAAGATATTAGTTGGGAATGATGCTGATTAATTTTAGGTGAAAATCTACCGAGCCGTTTTCTTGTAATTAACTGTTGAAAAAAAGTGTTAAATTTTCGTCCACATTTAAGCTCATCCTACCGAACCGATTTTAAAAAATCAAAAACTGTTCGAAAGATATCATTTGGGAATGATGTTGATTAATTTTAGGTGAAAATCTACCGAGCCGTTTTCTTGTAATTAACTGTTGAAAAAAAGTGTTAAATTTTCGTCCACATTTAAGCTCATCCTACCGAACCGATTTTGAAAAATTAAAAACTGTTCGAAAGATATCATTTGGGAATGATGCTGATTAATTTTAGGTGAAAATCTACCGAGCCGTTTTCTTGTAATTAAATGTTGAAAAAAAGTGTTAAATTTTCGTCCACATTTAAGCTCATCCTACCGAACCGATTTTGAAAAATCAAAAACTGTTCGAAAGATATCATTTGGGAATGATGCTGATTAATTTTAGGTGAAAATCTACCGAGCCGTTTTCTTGTAATTAAATGTTGAAAAAAAGTGTTAAATTTTCGTCCACATTTAGGCTCATCCTACCGAACCGATTTTGAAAAATCAAAAACTGTTCGAAAGATATCATTTGGGAATGATGCTGATTAATTTCAGGTGAAAATCTACCGAGCCGTTTTCTTGTAATTAAATGTTGAAAAAAAGTGTTAAATTTTCGTCCACATTTAAGCTCATCCTACCGAACCGATTTTGAAAAATCAAAAACTGTTCGAAAGATATCATTTGGGAATGATGCTGATTAATTTTAGGTGAAAATCTACCGAGCCGTTTTCTTGTAATTAAATGTTGAAAAAAAGTGTTAAATTTTCGTCCACATTTAAGCTCATCCTACCGAACCGATTTTGAAAAATCAAAAACTGTTCGAAAGATATCTTCCGGGAATGATGCTGATTAATTTTAGGTGAAAATCTACCGAGCCGTTTTCTTGTAATTAACTGTTAAAAAAAAATTTAAGCCGTTTTTCATGGAACTTTTTTTGACGATATACATCATGGTCTTATAGAACTTACTGTAATATTACGGCCTTACAACAAGTAGTTTAATTTTGAAAATTCGTCAAACTTTGCTAAAATTATTATCGTTTTTTTTTAAAAGTAGGATTGATGAAGTATATTATTTACACATTTTTTTGATCAAGTTGATTATTTACACATATCGGGAAGTTCATGTAATTTGCCTCAAGGCTAAATACCAAACCAACTAGTTATTGTATGATTTGCATTCTTTTAGTGCAGTTATTTCACGTTGTAACTGCACTAACATAAGTTTGATCTCGCTCAGGTCATTTCCGAGATTCGCACACGCACTACAGTTCGACATTAGTCCTTTTTTTGGATGTTATTGACCGCACTTCAGATAAACTCAAATTAACTGTAGCACACACACGTGTTTTCAGAACTCATGTTTTATTAGCTAGATTTTATTGCAGTTTAAGGGACACCAAGTACAACGATGTTAACAGTACAGAGGACGAAACAAGACAAGACTTTAGGAGTTCTTCGGGTTGTTTCCTATCTTTTATAATTATTTTCAATGAAATTAACTCTTCGTATAATTCTGCTCCGTTTATGTCGCACGATTCGCCATCCTTGAATTTATTATGAAAGTCGAAGCAACTTTTTTTTATGTCGTCCTCTCCTATTTCAACAAATTTATATAAAAATCCGAAAGACTGTTCGAAATTGGATAATGTTTCAAATCGGGTAGTAACAGATGAAATGGCTGTATCCAATATTACATAGAAAAAAATAATTTTGAAATTTTCTTTAGCAGTTAACTGAATATCCTCAGCTCCTTCATAGTCAAATTATGGCGTCGACGTAGATTAATTTCAACAGAAAATTCCGGTTGTATTTCAAGTGATTCACATAATTCATCAGCAATTTTCAAATACTTTTCGAAATTTTCATCATTTCTAATTCTTTGGAAAAGAATTAAAATATTAATAATAGATTTAGCACATGAAGTAAGATTCCAAGAAACGGTCTGCATCATTTCAATAATAATATTTATTTATTTATTTATTTATTTATTTAAATATATAGCCCACAGATTTCTCCAAGAGGACTCAAAAATACAATTATTTGACATAATGAATAACAATTAAAATATATACAAAATTACAATATATAGTTAGTAACATAAAATGCTAAGATAAAATTTCATATAATGCAGAATGTAACAATAATATTTATAAACAGAAAATAATGAGATATTTGAAAGAAAATAAAAAGATTAACTTGTGCAGATGGAGATTATTTGATTAGGTGAAGTGTTGTGAATGTCTATTTCATTATTAATTAAGTTAAAGTTAGAGGACATTAGTAAAATTGGCGAATTTAAAAGAGAATTAGATTTAGGGGTAGGATAATTGAAAAATAATTGTGAACGCGAAGATAGATAATATTTACTTTTTCTAAGATTTCGTACCATATTACTGTGGAACAAATAAATTTGTACGATTTAATTTTCATTGCCAAACATTTAGCTTCATGTTGACCTATTGGCGTTGAACATTCTTCTGCTAGTTCTATTAGGCTGTCAAAAATTTCACCTAATTCATGACGCAGTGGTCTAATCGCCTTAATCCTTGATTCCCACCGGGTTACGCTAACTTGTTTCACTGTTAACGATTTTACATGTTTTTTTTTTTAAATTTGCCATCGAAAAGGTGATCCGGAAAAGTAATTGTATATTGCTGACACATTACTAAAAAAAAATCCACAGTTGAAAAAGAAACTTTCGCTGCATCATTGACGACCAAATTTAATGTATGCGCGATGCATGGCATAAACAAAGCTCGTGGATAATTGTCCAAAATTCGTTTCTGCAATCCAATATGTTTTCCAGCCATATTTGATCCATTTAAGAGAGCTTAATTTTTCAATTAAAAAGTCGTAAAAGGCTTCTCCAGTACTTTTTTGAGCTGGAGAAAAACCAACGAAATTTTCTCTCACTTCTACTTCGTCATTTTGAATATGCACATATCTCAAAATTATTGTAATTTGCTCGACGTGTCCCATGTCCGGCGTACAATCCAAAATACTGAAAAATATTTGGCGTCTTTTATTGCTGACAAAATATATTTTTGAATTTGCGCTGCAAGGATACTAATTATTTCATTTTGGAAGCGAT